GGACTTTTTCTCCCAGCTCCTCTTCCCCTTTCTCTTTCTTCGTTAGCCAGGGAGTCAAAAAGAGGATGAGGGAAGGATTAGCTCATGAAAGCAAAAGTATGGTCAAAGAGACAGCAAGGGAGGGGAAAAGTGAAGGGGCACAGGAAAGGAGATTCTGCAGTCGGTTGCCAAGGCTACCGGCGAGCAGCTGATTAGCGTGTGTTATGTGTGTGAGTGTGTCTGGGCCTGTTGGTCCATCTCTGTGGCTGATAAATGGTCCCGTACTACATGTGGAGAAAGGAGCATTTCAACGATCATTAGCAGCAGCTTCCGATTCATCAGCTCTTGTGTCTGTTGCGCCGGTGTTGCACCATAACAAGGCGACACACACACACACACACACACACACACACACACACACACACACACACACACACACACACACACACACTAGTGTGTGTGTGTGTGTGTGTGTGTGTGTGTGTGTGTGTGTGTGTGTGTGTGTGTGTGTGTGTGTGTGTGTCGCCTTGTTATGGTGCAACACCGGCGCAACAGNACCAAAGGAGTTGGTTTTTTTCGTTACCCTAAAAGAGTTTTCAACCTTTTATCGACTCTTTATTCCAGACACCTTTTTGTTTGGACAAACTATTACGCCACTGGGCAAGACTAAAACGCACGACACGTAGAGAGGTGTACAGATGGGTGATGGAAAGGATCTACAAGGTTAGTCCCTATTTAGATTGGCAGCCTATCTAATATTTTCCCAAACATCCCCGCAGTGGACTGGTGATCACGGTCTTGAGTAGCCTAGTTCGACCGACTTTGCAAGAGAGGGTGAAAGAAAGTATGAGGAATGTGAGTAGGAAATTGAGGAGGCACTGATAAGAATAAACTTCTGAACAAAAGGCCCGTCTAGAACCGAGGCCGGACCACTGGCCGACCCATAATTTTTTGTAATCCACGTGCTGGCGACGGTGGTACACTCCCGTTACCATATTCGGGAGGACACCTCGTCGCTCATACCAATGTACATCACAATCTCCGCGCGCTAACGCTGAAGGGCGAGTGCCCCTCCGCCACGAGCGCGAGGGGCCCGAGGGCGCGACGTTTGTCGACAACAGATAGGGAGTCGGGTCTACTGTCCGCTTCCTGTGTGGCTACCGTCGGTACCGTCACTCCTGGTTTAGGACGCGTCACTGGCTGCACCTCTCAATATGATGCCAATATAAACAAGGTCTTCTGTCGGCTCTGTACATCAATGCCGACCTATGCTGACAAGTAAGTGAAGAGTAGACAATATAAAGGTATTGGCGAAATGTCCCAGCAGTTTAGGATAATGAAGGTTCTAATCAAATCAATTACATAGCCATTACATGTCTAACTCCTAATGACAGGAAGGCAGAAAGTGCATTATACAAATATTAATACTCATAATAATAGCTGACATTTTTTAACAATGACCACAATATCATTATTTTAATTAACCAAATATGAACAATTGAGGAAATGAGGAAGAACTGATGATTCAAATGTTGTAGTACAAGTAGTAATGTAGTTTGTGCATAAATTACTATTGCAACAAATGTGTTCATTTTCTTCATTATTAGTCGATTTTTTTTGGACGAATGCTCCGGGCCAGTGCTTACAATGGTGGGGCCAGTGATAATACAATGCCACCGGCCCGGAGTTTTGACCTTTTTTGTGGCAGTTAAACATCATCAAAAGACTGTTGATCTCCAGTATATGTGTGATAATGAATGGTCGCAAACTGTCTGTTTTGTAAAGTGAGTAAGACACTGAGGCTGTAATTAAAAGCCCCCGTAGAGGGCAAAGCCATTGACTTGTTTTGACAAGGGAAACACCTGAGCTTCCTTTGTGCCATCCTCCTTCACAGACCTATTTTCTCTTCCTCTTTCTCTCTGTAATTAACATGCACATAGGATAGGCAGTCAGATCCACAGTCGTCTGTCAGACTACCCTACCGCAGAAGAGCAGGAAACCTCACCCTTGGGACCTATCCCGTCCGCCTCCATCTCTTAGTTTCTCCCCCCTCCCGCCCTTCATCTTCTATACGTCTCTCCCTCTGTTTGTCTCCCGTGTCCTTCCACCTCCTCTACCCTCCCGCCGCCACTGATCGATCTGTCCCTTATATTCCGATCTGTACCTCCCCTCCTCCTCCTCCTCCTCCTCCTCCTCCTCCTCCACTATTCATCATTTTTTAGCTCATTTAATTCCAGCCCTGTCTGCCCTTCCTCCACCCTTCCTCCTCCACCCTTCCTCCTCCTCCACATCCCTAGCTTACAGACCATAGTGGTTAGACATATTGTAGAGCAGACATGCTGCCACACGCCTCGTCAATCTCACCGGCAACACCGCCTTCCAGTTATTTTTCCCATATCCGTTAGTTAATCAAAAACGCACCGAACATGGCCACCAGTGTGATCGATTCCCTCTGACTTGATCCCCTGTTCACCACCCCCACCTGTGCAGCTGCCACCATCCCTTCATCCCACGTTCCCTCCCTCCTTATGTCCCTTCATCCCATCCTCCTCCTCTTGCCTTCATCACTAATGGATCACGTGCGGTTAATTAGCAGAGATGTTTTTCTCTAGCTTTCCGCCTGTTGTTTTAGGAACACTGTTTTTGTCATCAGGCCCACAAACTGATTGTGTGTTTGTATTCACGCACGTGGCTCAGGTTGTTGTTTTGTCTCCTACATTCGAACATCTTATTGTACGATGGCATGCTGCAGAGAGGAGGGGAAGGCGCCAAGTCAAACTGGTCATGTGACCACCTCAAACAAAGGACCCGTGGCCCCACACACACACACAGTAACAGGAATGTGCCTTCCTGGCTTTTTAGTTGTGCCCACAGGTGTGTTGCAGCTTTGCAGATAAAGCCATCGCTCAAAATGACGGGCTGGTCTGAAAGCGACGTTGCCATTGTCTCACTTTATAACTTGTGACACACATAGAATTCACGCACTCAGACAATGCTCCCCAAAGCCTTTCTGCATGGGATCAATGGCGGCCACTTTTGTTGGAGCGGGCGTCAATAAGCGCCTGTGTGTGGTGGGCGGATCTATTCAGATTGATCTCTGAATGTTCTCCCATGAATGCTCAGCCGTGTGTGTGTGTGTGTGTGTGTGTGTGTGTGTGTGTGTGTGTGTGTGTGTGTGTGTGTGTGTGTGTGTGTGTGTGTGTGTGTGTGTGTGTGTGTGTGTGTGTGTGTGTGTGTGTGTGTGTGTGTGTGTGTGTGTGTGTGTGTGTGTGTGTGTGTGTGTGTGTGTGTGTGTGTGTGTGTGTGTGTGTGTGTGGTGTGTGTGTGTGTGTGTGTGTGTGTGTGTGTGTGTGTGTGTGTGTGTGTGTGTGTGTGTGTGTGTGTGTGTGTGTGTCACAGCTTGGAAATGGCAGCAGACAGATTGTTGGAGTCAGGTGCTCACAGCTCCATGACTGTTTTGCTTGTGTTTATGTAAATACATGAAAAATATACGGACTCTTTCTTGCCTGTAAGACGAGGAACCAAAACTTTCTTGTGTTGTTACATGAAGTGCTTACAGGCTCATGTTTGAGGAGCAACTGGGCTGTTCCATTGCTGAAGGATCCTTCACTTTGCCTTCCTGGTGATGAGGACATTAGAAGATATTTGACAAAGATCTTGGAGTTCATTTTGCCTCTCGATTAGGGTTTCTTTTTGCTGCCCTTTTTACATTTCTGACACTTCAGGAAAACAACTGCAGAATTGGATTGTTTTTCTTGAACATTTCCAATCACTCTATTATTGTGATAGTTATAAAAAAGCAGAGGGGGGAAAAGTATTGAGATTCTTTACTAGTAAAAGTACTAATGCCACACTTTAAAAATACAACATTTCAGTAAACATACTGCATCAAGAATGGTACTTAAGTAAAAGTATTTAAGTACGATGAGGAAAATCTACTTCAAGTATTAGGGGTAAAAGTACCCATTACGGAAAAAAGGATTGAAATACTTTAAAGCACATGGAGCAACTCTTCATATTCAACATGTCTGAACTGAATTATTCCAAAAAAAATTATTCCAGTTAAGCTTCTGTTAACCCACTCTTTCTTAAATATAATGTTGAACGGATTCATCCACACCATTAATCATTAATTTCAGATTTTCCCAAGTATTGTTTGTCGTAAAGTAACTAGAAAATACATCTGTAAAAATAAATATATTAGTGGAGTAAAAAGTACTAAGTTGGCTTTCAAAATATAGAGTAGAAGAATACAATTAAAATAATACCCTAAATGTGTACTTACTTGAGTAAATGTACTGAGTTACTTTCAACCTCTGTTCAAAAATGCTTGTGCGTGTGTTTACAGTTTTTGTCTGTTGGTCATTTGAGATGCAAGACCTGTAGCCCTGCAGCATCACACACACTGAAACACACACACCGACACGCTACACAGGGGAACACACACAGCAGTGAGACATCAAAAGAGCCTCTAATGATTACATTTGCTGCATTTAGACTGCATAAGAATCTCTCCGTCTCATTTAGAAACACACACTGGTGTCCCCGCAGCGAGACGTCCGTATGTTCCGTACCCACACGCTGTTTATGTATACAGGACAGATCTCCAGCTGTGTAATAGATGAGTGTGTGTGTCTATACTGCCAGAGCACTGCAGAGCGTGGAGCTATTAGAGCGATGTTGCCAGACTGGTAGACATCAGACTAGTGCACCATTATACTTGCACCCCCATAGAAGTGTCTGGCAATGTGTGGCAGCAGACAATCAAGAAGAAGAGGGTCAGAGATGCAGATGTCGGGGAAGGCAAGGAGGCTCGTGACTCAGCTAGATGAGGAGGCAGTATGTAGGTCAATAGGTTACGCTGCGAGTATAGTCTATACGGGAGGATTATATGTTGTACGAGCTGCTGGATGTGGGAAGACGCTGCATTTGGTTGTGCTGCTCCACTTTTTCCAAGTTTTGAAATCAGGTCACGAGCAAGTCTTCCCCCTTCTTCTGTCTGCATGCCCCCCTCGTTTTACCTCCAGCCCACATCCCTTCCCTCTCTCCAGCGACGGATTCTTTTTAATTTTTCCCATCTTCCGTCTCGCCTACGCATTCCTCTCCTCTCTGATTGCATTTCACTTCTCTATCCATCTCTCCTCTCTCTGTTTGTCCCTCTAAACTCATATCTGTGATCAGATTATGAGGCATATCATGGGATTAGTGAGTCTCATGGTATGTATTAAAGTGGGAGAGCCGGGGAACGGATAGAGAGGCGTTGATGAGTATTTCATGGTAATGCGGCACCCAATCTCATATAACACGAGGACTAAACAATGATAAAGAGCATCAGTGCCATCGACGTTTTATTCATCACGGGCTCCTTTGAATGGCCAAGGGGGTAAAAGCAATAAAGTTGGAAGATATCTTCAGTGGCACCGCAATAAGAGAGCAGAGATAATAGAAAGAGGGAACAAAAACGTTCTGATGTCGTCAAACTTTATGAAAATGATGGGAAGTGTCGTTTCAAGGAAATGTGTCGGTGAGCTTCACTGCTGCCACTTGCTCCTCTCTCCACGTTCTTTACTCCTCAAGGGTTTCCCCACTTTTCAGTTTCCAGTAGTTTTCGTCAGCCTTTATTACCCCCCAGGTTCACCCTCTCTCTTTTTTTCTAGTTTCATCTCTCTTTTTCTTTCTCAACCCCTGCTTCTCTTTATGCCTTTTGTTCTCTCTCAATCTCACTGTTTCCGTTCTTAATGTCTGTTTCTCTATCCAGACAGATGGCAGGAATGGAGGTCTTGGTGGGGTGAGGGCCTACAGGGTGGGTTAGGGTTACACTGTGAAAGACATCAATTCAGGAACATTCCCCGTCTTTTCCTTCAGATACTATTCTCTTTTTGTTTTCCTGAACCTTTGCTAAACACACGTGTGTGTGTGTGTGTGTGTGTGTGTGTGTGTGTGTGTGTGTGTGTGTGTGTGTGTGTGTGTGTGTGTGTGTGTGTTGGAGAGAGACAGCCCCCAGAGTGGGACAGGGAACAGATTGGAGTCTGAGCCCTCATGTCCTGACTCATTAATCTTCTCTTTAATTCATGGTCTCACCGCCGGCTCAACACGTGCACATACACTCGCACATAGAGCGCGCTCAAAGGTCCAAAAAGAGACTAACAAGCAGACACATTGATGTTGGCACAGAACACAAGCCAAGAGTCAACCCTTTCAATTTAATGATTCAATTTCCTAATTTTTTTTCTTGTGTCCTTGATGCCGCTTGGAAACGATTCATCACACTTCAAAGCAGTTATTTAGCCCCCTCACCACCACCTCGCCAGTATCGATCTCACGCTTAATCGGGCCGTGATCTTGCCAATAACTCAAAGTCAACCAAAGAGTGGAATAGATAAATGACTGATGGACGCCAACATCCTCATTCTTTGGAGCAAGTCAGGCTTTTCGGCCCAACTCCACATTTCAATTAGGGGAGAACGCAGAAGAAGAACAAAGAAAGGTTGACAAGTTATGAACACACCAATTGATCTGATCTTTTTTAAAGCTATGACATTCAATGCCTTTTGTGGGAATAGTTGCTGCCTGTCAGCTTGTTGTTTGAAACGTTTGCTTGGTCCTAGCAGCGCATTAAAAGCAAGTAGAGAACCCCATTCAGTGCAAAAAGAGCCCTATTCATACAGGCATTCTAATGTCAAAAAGCTTCATAAGCAATGGAAGAACAACTTAAAACATGCACATTTTAAGCAACACGATGCGACTGGATGCACTGCTCTTCAGGCATCAGCAAGTTTGATATGTATTTGTCATATTTCCCTCTCATAAGAAGGGTATTCTTCTCTTTGACTGTTCGCTTGAGCAGTCTGTCTTTTTGGATTGTACTGTACATGAATTCCATGTTCCTGGTTATTTGCTTGACGTTGTCCTTGCGTCTGCTCTTGTCACTTTCTGAAGTAGAATCCTGAAACCACGAGTTACCCTTCATGCTCTGTAAATGTCTTTGCTTTCTCTGCCTAGTGCTTAGATCGTAAGCAATTCCGACCCTTCTGGTCATATAGAATCTCTTCCAGCTGACCTGGCTTCTTTGTTCCTTCGAAAATAATAATTTGGAAAGTGTCATTAGGATGTAAAAATGGGCTGACGGCCTTGAGGAGCAACACGAAGGGCTGGAACTCGTGGGGATGATGGGGACATTGATAAGAAGCAGGAACAGTCATTCACATTGTTGGCTTTGTTGCCGTTTCTCAACAGTCATTTGATTCTAAAAAGATCTAAACTGGCATCATGCAACCACTACTAAAGGGAATTAGAAATACAGTAAGTCTGATCATATGATGGTGATGACACTCTTGATAAGGATGAGTGTTACAGGGTTATGCTGCTTTTAAATTCTGAGATCATTCTTTTTCATGAGAGCCAAACTTAGCATCTGTTGAGACTTAAATAGGCATTGTGTGAATAAGTGGAGCCCCTTTATTCATGGGCTAGCCAACGCTTGGTGTTAATTAGGGATGCCAGCGATTATTCGATTATTCGAATATTCGTTACAGTCTCCATAATCGAAAATTATTTTTAAAAATCGATTTTATTTATATATATTTTTATTATTATTTATGTTTTTTTTTTTTTTTTTCTGGCTTAGTTTCAACCAAAATATAGACTAATGCTAATAATAGTAATAGTATTAATAATTGTAAATGGCCATTGGTCACACCACCAGTTTGTTTTACTGTAAACTTGGAGGAAGCCAGCAGCGCAGCCCTTCGCTGCGCTGCTACACACCGATCTTATTATTCGCCAGGCCTGTCCGATTTTCGATTTTGATCATGGTCAGTTTCTGGCATCCCTAGTGCTAATGTGTGGGAGCCCAAAGTAATAATCTCCAGTACTTGTAGCCTTTATCAATGACTTTTTTAGAAACACTTTATCAGGAGTCCAAATCCCCTTGACATTTTCTCAAGTTAAGTCAGACTTAATGGGGAGAGTTTGAACGGCCATCTGGCATCACCACTGGAGTTCTCTGGGGTACAAGTAGGGATTTTGACTTGGTCAATCAGGCGGTTTTCTCATTGACTTGTCAGGAGGGAACCTTTGCCCCAGTGTGAGGACATGTGTAGTCTGGAGCTGTGACTCCAAGTTCTCCCTGCCACTGAGACGGACCCCGTCCCATGATGTTGCCATCCCCGTGCATCAGCGCAGGGATGGTATTATCCAAGTGGGGGAGCAGAACCTGGATTTAGCTAGATGTTGCTCTAGATGTTCAGACTGACTTTATCTCATCAGAACAGAGAATGAGTCCTTGAAGAGGCTTTTGGACAACTTCTTAGCGTGCTGTCATATTCCTTTCACTCAGGAGTGAAATCTCTCTAGCCCCTCTATCAAAGGCCAGACAGAGTTTAGCTGTACGTAAACATCTTTGAAGAGTTTACTAGTCGTTCCAAGCGTCATCCCTTTCACAATAATGGACTTTTCCAGTGAAGACATTCAGAGATGTAGAAATGGTTTTCTACCGTTGCTCAGGCATCGACCTTGACACAATTACAATTGTTGTCTTTTAATTGTTTTTTTGTATCAAAGGAGAGATTATTGGACTTCAAAGCTTTAATTTGAGTCTGGCAAGCATAATAAATGATAGGAACTTAATGGGAACTATATTCAGGTGTTTTCTTTCTTTATGTAAACTTAAGATCATAATACCATCAGTGAAGTTTTAAAGATATCTCAAAGATAGTCTCAGCACCTTAACTGAATTTGAAATTCCATCAAACAGAGTCTGAAAACATACCCCAAAAAGGCATGGAACAACAAAGTTTCATTTCTAGAAAGGCCAGAAGTGTAATTTTCTCAAAATGGCTACCGTAAGGCCTTCAGCCTTCCATGCAAGTTTTGACAACGTGTCTCTATGTCCTCAGGGGGGGTTATCTGCTGATTCCTTTGATCTTGCAGAGTCACTGTGATCTCATGATCACCTTATGGACTGTTAATCACAACGTGGGGCAGAGGTCACAGCACACATTCACGCACTGCACTCTACGATTCATACACACTCTCAACTCTCTGACATCATCTTGTTCAAGCAGCCAGAACATCATGCCAACTCTCCATGTTGCAACGGTTATTTAACTCGATAAACAAAAACACATCATGAGTTGTGTTCCAACGCAGCACTGACACAGCCCTTTAGGTCTGAGTTTGTGCACAAGGCCATGCGGTGTGTGCGTGTGCACATCCCTAGTGTTGCAACTGCCAGGAAAGTGTTGCTCAACTACAGCCGGGACAGTTTCTCGTCCTTGTGACAAGTCAGGTCAAGGACCATCAGGCCTTTGGGTCACCGCTTCATGTCAACTTTCAAAGTGCTCTCTTTTCTCATACATCACCATATGAGACACTGTTCAGTTCTAGCCAACCCTGTAAAAGAGGGAATGGAAATAGAGCTTCTGCCTACAGTATATTGTACATTATTTGATATTCCCATGTGTTTGAACAGTGGCCTTTAGTTAAGAAGGCAAAGGGGAAAAAAACGTCCCTTTCTTGAATTCCATGTTGACTGACAGCGGATGTTATGACATTCTGCTCATTCATGCACTCACTAACACACACATACATGTTGTGCAATATGGCCCTCATAACCGAAGCAAAGGGAATTTAAAGCATTCTCAGGGTAGTTTAGAGGTGTGTATCTTATGTCACTGAATCAGTTTCACTTAGTCAGTGTGTGGTATCGAGAACAGCTGCTAAGTTGAATACTTAGTGCCCCCAGTTTCTGTGCATGGCTACAATCCCATGTTCCCAATTCTCTCACACAGTCAGAGGGTGAAAAGAGGTGTTGTAGCACAGGCAGTATGGGAAAAATATACTTTTTGAACATTAAAGCATGTCAGAGTAGAGGCAAAAAATGCAATTATGAACTTGAAAATTAGCTTAATAGGGCCCCTTGAATATATTAAACCTGGAGATTCCTCAAATGTTTCTAAAAACACTGAAAACCCCACCTACATCCTTCTTCTTATCATAACAAACTAGCCCTCAGAGCATGACTTCCTCATGTTTCAAGAACTTTCACTCTTTCAAGAGAAACAGATTCAAAGCTGGTTGATCTAGATAGATTTTGTCATGTCATAGCTATTCAGAGGGAGTGTTGCACACACTCGCTCACAGTGTGTGAAAGTGCATATATGTGTCCAAGGGAGAGAGCCTTTGTCAGCTCTCAGTCACTATAAAGAGTGTTCCAGTTAGCCACTCAGAACCTTCTGGTATCTTCTCTGCATGTGAATGAGCTTTTCAGCAACGGCGCAGCTTCCTCACAGACAGCGTGCCTCATCCGGTTTGTAGCAGCCGCTTGTGGCAGCCGTGGCTTGAATGTCATGTGCTCTGCGGGTTTCTAGAAAGCATCCCTTGTCTGGTAAAAGTGAAATCTCTTAGTTAGTTACAGAGTCATTGTGTAGGGGGAAGTCTACTTGTATCATGTATTACACAGACGTGTTACCCCTATGAATTACAGGGCAGTTGATTTGTCAAAGTAACCATAGCTCCATATATCTGATGTCAATTCTTATTTTTTGCCACTGAGGCTTTTTATTGGAAAATACATTTTTTCATACCATTGTGTTACAATATTTACATCACCAACTTATCGTACAACATATGGAAATTACCTGTGTCATTTCTCCTGACCTCACTAAAAAGTAGGGATGGGTACCGAGCCCCGGTATTAAACGGGACCCAGGGCCGAATTATTAAAGACCGTGGTACCGTTAAGCTCCGACGTTAACAGTCTTTTTATCGGTACTGGAGACATGTACAAAATATATGTATTATTGCTACACAAACATTATATTGCAGTTTTAGTGTTGCCAACTCCGTTTCTAACATGCAAAAACCGTGCAAAATGCGTCTTTTTAGTATTTTCGATCTTTCCAACCTAGGCGAGAGATCTCTCTCCCACGCCTGTGTGCGAGGGGGCGGGGCAGTTTACACACACGCAGCTGCTACATGCAGCAACACACACACTGCGGAGATGGCGGAGAGAACGCGCTCCAAGGTGTGGTTAAATGTTACCCGTCTCGATGTGGACAATGCTCGTTGCCTAAAGTGCAATAAGAGTTTAGCATGTCAGGGCGGTAACACGAGCAATTTGTCTAAACATTTAGCAAAAGTGCACCACATTCAGACGGAGGAATGCACCGGGTTCGACTGTCTTTCTAGTTGCTCTGTATCCCCATCCACGAGTAACGTTTCCACGACAGGTGTTATATATAGTAGCAACACACGGAGTTAACTCAATTATACAAACATGGGTTAATGATTAGAGGTAACTGAGTTATTTATTTTGTTAAAGTTTCAGCTATTCTGTTTACAGTTCTGTCATCACATTATTTAATACGATTTGTTAAAACATTGTTGTTTCTTTTGATGTGAAATATTATGTATTTCATTTAAATAAAAAGCAATGTTAGTTTTGTTCACAATTTGTTTCGTTAGTTCACCTTTTTTTTTTCTCCAATAGAACCGATCTTTCTTGTTCACACCACCTTGACACCAACACCAACTCCATTTCCGTTTATTGATACTCGAACAGTTGTAATTTTACGCGAGGTGGTTCTTGGTGAAATTACAGGTGGGACAAAACCGGGAATTTTTGGAGTTCCCCATAAAAAAGTATTTCACAGCGAGGGACATTAACGTTACATCCCAGTTGTTCGTTCGTTTAGCCTTCTACAAGTGTTCAGACAAGTACGACGTCGAATATGGTTTCCTATCACACGTAAAGTGGTAGATGTAACCGGCCTCCTTATGTCTCCCGCTACAGTTAGTTTGGGGGGACGACTCAGTCCGGACACTGTCGAAGTGTAGACAGGCCTAATTCGGAGCGATGTCGTCCTTTGGTACGTAGGGACTACTAACATCCGTACGACACTTCGGAGGACGAGAGGAATAAAGGTCGAGGAGAGCCTGACTCGCATTCAAATATGTTCTGTGTAAACCGACGTATAAGAACGAATCGTCGTAGTGGAAGCAGGTAAGAAGGTCGGAATTACTATGTATGGAAACCGACATTCCCACCCTACGTCCACTACAGTACATCTCGTACAAAGGGGCCCACCGTACACAGAAAGGAGCGAAGGAATAAACGAACCCCAAATGATGCTCTCGTCCTCCTTGCCGTCGCTACACAAACAAAACAACCCTTACTGTCACACATCAAGTCCCGCTACCTTTCTTCCTCTCAAACAAAAAATTTCCTCTACAGGAATTTACCGGTTACGCACACACAGACAAAACACAGGGTACTACGACATCCGTCCGCGTCAACTCTCATGTCACGGGTTCTACATCACTCACAGACACTTTCACACATCTTTTCCACAGTTCGTTCTCGTAGGAAACATCTTCTACGATCGTCAATAACTCACCTTCGAGTTATTCTGGTCCAAGTTTCCTCTCTTCAACAACGTGCCAGTACTTATATTTCGTCGGTAAAAACCCCCGAACTAAACCCTTACAGGAAACATCCCTACCATAGTCAAATTCGGCAAAATTGCCTGTGATGAGAAATAGCTATGGCGAATCAGCCCAGGCCAGAAAAT